CTTCCCTCTCGTGCTCTCTATCTCTCATTCTCTCTCTCTTTAAAATGAATAAATAAAATCTTTAAAAAAAAAAAGAATTTTGGATAACAAAAAATTCAACCATGTGGGCCTATATGCCTGTCTTTCATTAACTGCAATGAAATTAACCTTTTCACTACTTCATGGATGAAAAGACAGTTATGTGGTACATAAATAATTAACTTTTATTTTTTTTAATTTTTAAAGTTTAATTTATTTTTTTAAAATATGGAATGCTTCACGAATTTGCATGTCATCCTTGTGCAGGGGCCATGCCAATCTTCTCTGTATCATTCCAATTTTAGTATATGTACTGCTGAAGTGAGCACAATAATTAACTTTTTAAAAACACATATTTAGGGCTGCCTGGGTGGTCAGTTGGTTTAACGTCTGACTCTTGATTTCAGCTCAGGTCATGATCTCAGGGTCATGAGATTGAGCCCCATGTTGGACTCCATGCTGGGCATGGGCCTGCTTAGGATTCTCTCTCCCTTTCCCTCTGCCCCTCACACCACACCCCCAAATAAAATAAAATAAAAAATAAAAACATGTATGTAATAAGTATCACAAAGTGTATGAGGTAAAAAGTGATGGTCTCCCTCCACACCATCCTTCTTTATAATTGTAATTATTTTCTATAGAAACAGATATCTTTATATCTATGCTTACCTGGTTATACACATACATACAGACATGCAAGCTTCATGAGTCAGGGATCACCCATGTCTATCTTGATGTACATCATTGTAAGCCTAGGGCACACCATGGGCCTTAGTACACAGAAGGTACTAAATGGAATGAATAAATGTCACACTCTACCTTGTTCTGTAGGTGGCTTTTTTTTTTTAATTTAAGAATGTAACTTGAATATGTTTCCATGTTAGGGCATCAGTAACTACTTCATTATTTTCAATGGCTCCAGAATAATCCACTATGTGAATGCACTATAATTTATTCAACTAGTACCCTATTACTGGATGTTTAGGTTACATTATATATATATATTTACACACATATATATACATATATTTATATTTTAATTTATTTGAGAGAGAGAGAGTGAGAGAGAGAATGAGCAGGGAGAGAGGCAGAGGGAGAGGGAGAAGCAGACTTCCCACTGAGCAGGGAGCCCGATGTGGGGCTCAATCCCAGGACCCTGGGACCATGACCCGAGCCGAAGGCAGACGCTTAACGACTGAGCCACCCAGGAGTCCCTAGGTTATATATATTTATATACACACACACACACGCACACTTATGTACAGCATTACAAACAGTACTGCAGTAAGCATGATAGCCAAATTATTTTGTATAAAAGTTCTATCAATTTGTCTTCTTACTAACAGTGAATGTGTGTTGAGTTCTCCACATCAATGCTAGGGATGATTTCCCAAATTGGGTATTATCAATCTTTGTTGTTGTTGCTGTTTCTTTTGTTTGGAAAAAAGGTCCTTACAAGGGGAATTGCAGGCTATTTTGCTTTAAAGTGAAGTTGGGATTCAAATTGGGAAGATTCTAAATGGCAAATAGGACATTTGAATATTTTTAAAGCAGTGAAAGAGAAAGGGTTTGAGAATTTTTTTTTAGGATTTTATTTATTTATTTGACAGAGAGAGAGTGAACAAGCACAAACGGGGGAGCAGCAGAGAGAGAGGGAGAAGCAGACTCCCCGCTGAGCAGGGAGCCCGATGCGGGTCTCAATCCCAGGACTCTGGGATCACCACCTGAGCCGAAGGCAGACACTTAACGACTGAGCCATCCAGGCGACCCTGAGAATTTTTGTATACATTATAAAATGTTTGAGCTCGAAGAGATCTTAAAAATTATCTGTTTCAGTGAACTTTTTTTTATAGATGGGGAAATAGAAATTCTGAGAAGTAAAATGACTTATTTAACCACACACTATCCATTAATAGCAGATCTGATATTAGACCAAGATTTTTTGGGTCTCAGCCTATTATTCTTTGGTTTTGTTCAGCAAATATTTACTAAACATCTTGGAATAAGTACTAAAGAAGATTCAGCAAGTAAGAACACATACTTATTGCGCACTTTCTTGTGCCAGATCTTTCAGATACATTAGGTGTGATATATACCAAGTCAATCTACTACATTTTTTGTTTTTGTTGTGTGTGTGTGGTTCTTTTTTTTTTTTTTCTTTTTAGTATTATTAGGTATTCCTATGTTTCAGCAATGGTAGTAATTCTTAGAGTCAAGCCTGGAATAGGTTCTGTTGATCAGGAGGAAAATGATACTATTGTTTTACTCAAAAAGGTGTCAAATGGAAAGCATGGCTGATTGCTTTTTTCTCAGGTCTGTTTAGGGTATCAGGCACTTCTCTGCGTAGGTCCTCAGTGTGCACAAACCTGAGAAATGCCGAAATTGAGAGAAGGCCAGCTGAAGGTGGAAAAGTGCCTGAAATGTGGCTGGGGACATTGGTTGGGACAGATCAAGGAGGGCTCTGTTGATCTAGTTAAAGATTTTTGCTTTTGTTCTAAGGAAATGGTAAACTAATGAAGGGTTTTAAGTGGATGCTCCACAGGGTCTTATTTGCAATTAAAAGAGGAGGGGGGAGACACTTGGGTTTTAAATGTGTTAGGAAAGCTGCAAGGTCAATGAGTCAGGAGGCTATATATCATTAGTCCAGGTGGTAGTTGATGGTGACTTGTTCCCTGGTTACAATATATAGAGAAGTGGAGATACATTAGGGACACAGAACTGACAAGATTTTGGTTAACTGATATGGCATTGAGAGGGAGAAAGGGTCTTGTATGACTCTCTAGTTCCCAGCTAATGCTGCTGGTTGCAAGTGGGTGACGTTCACTGAGATGGGAACTCTGGAGATATAAGATTGGGGGGAAGATCATGTGGTCAGTTTTGAAATGTTGTTTTGAAGGGCCTGAAAATCCACTTAAAGGTCTAGGGGGTGATTAGACAAAGGAATTAGAGGTCAGAGAAGAGCCAGAGATTTTAATTTGGTAGTCTTGTTTATATGGTAGAAGACATTGCCTAGGTAGAGGCACTTTTTTTTTCTTTAAGGAACTTGATCGCCAGGTAGGTCTAAAAGAGCGTTGGATGGTTCAGATCCATAATTTTCATTTCATTAATTAATGAAATTTCATTTCATTAATAGGATTACTCTACTTTTATTTTTGTAAACATCTGGGTTGTTTTTTATTTATAACATTACCTAACCTTTGGATTACGAACGAAAATCCTTGTTGCTGAATTAGCTAAATATCATAGCAGATACATGTTTAATAATTAGTAAGGGATTTTTAGGTAGTGGAAATGTCAGATCCTTGCTGAACAGATTGGCTAGGTAGTACTTTGGTCAAGTATTTCATATTTTGATCCAGCTGCCTTTGGAAAGTAAACTGGCATTTCATGTGCTTGAGCACTTTCAAGTGCACTCATCTAACTTTTCCTCGAACTACTGATTTGTTGTCACATCATAGAGCTTATTTCGGGAACCAGTGAGCTCTTAAAAATAAGCTTGTTTCTTAATCAAAAGGACAGTATTACATTACAGCTGAATTGGATAAAATTAGTACCCAAACCGCGATTGAAATTCTAATGCCTTTGTCTTGTCTTTCTTATACCTAGTAAATGGCTACAAAGGAAATGTCACTTCACATAAGATTAGTTGCCAAGATTTTAAAAAAGAAACACAGATATGTTCCTCACAGTTGCCCTAACCACGCAGCTTTTGTGCTGCTTCAAGTTGCTCAAACTGTGCTATGAGGAAGCCCTTATACTGCTTAAAAGGCCAGGGACTGAAACAGACTATTGCACAACTCTTCACCACCGGGCGGTTTCGCTTCCAAATCTGGCCTTCGTATCATCCCACGGCCGGAGTCGCTTCTGGCTCCAGTGGAGCCAACCCGGTTCCCCCTCAAAAGCAGCCAGGGTTTCCTCGTCCGAGCCATGGGCGCCCCTCCCTCCGCCCAAGGTTTTACGCGAAAGTGAAGCCGCGCGGGCGCGGGGCCGCCGAAGATCCCATTGTCCCGCTGGGGAGACCTGCTCTTCCCAGCGCGACTCCCGCACTCGGGTCCCACCATCTAGGTTAACCAAAGGTCTACGGGTCTCCGCGCCACTCCCCTCCCCCCGCCGCCCCATTGTCTGCCTCGCCCCGCCCCGGGGGACACGTGCGCCTGCAGCTTCCCGAGCGAGAAGAGCGCGGGGTGGCGGCGGCGTGGACACCGCCGGGAACGGCTGCGCGGCCGCGGCGCCGGGGGCGGGGGCCGGGCGCGCACGGACCGGTGGGTGCCCTCCGGGAGCTGCGGTAGCGTTCCGCGCCCCCCGCCCCGCCGGCCCGGGACGGGGCGGGGGGTGGGGCGGGTGGGAGCTCAGTGGGGGTGGCGTGCGCGTGGTGCTGCGGTGGGGGTGGGGTGGGGCGGGGTGGGGAGATGCCTGTCTCCTGACAAAGGAGAACGAGTGGGACACGCTGAGCCGGCCCGCCCCGCATGGAGGAGAGCGGGAGGAGGAGTGCCGGGAGGGGAAGGGGCGGGCCTTTCATTCACTGTCGGCCCCTCCGTCGCTGCCGGAGCGGAAGGGCGGGGTCTCGCGCCCCCCTCCCCCGGGAGGTGAGGAGCAAGGGAGGTGGCGGGGCGTGGGGGCGGAGCCCGCGGGCGCGCGTCCCGAGGCGTAGGCTACGTCGTCACGTCAGCGCGGGAGAGAGAAAGAGAGGAGCCGACTCGGCTGGGACTGGGGGACGGAGTCGAGAGAGCGAGCGAGGGAGGGTGTAGAGCGAGCGTTCGAGCGAGGAGGGGAAAGACGGCCACTCGTGCCTGAGCGGCCGCGGACGCCACTAGGAGTAGTGGGGGAAAGGAGCAGGGAGGGGAAGAAGAAAGGCCGAGAAAGGAGCCTGACGGAGCTGGTGGTGGTGGTAGGGGGAGAAGGAGGAGCTGGAGGAGGGCAGGGGCAGAGGGAGTGAGTGAGAGAAGCGGACGCGCGAGGGAGGGGAGGGAAGGGAAGGGGGGGTCACGCGGGCGCGCGCGCGCGCGCACCGGGAGCGCGCTCGGAGGCGAGTGGAACTGGATCGGGTTTGCTGCCAGCGGCGTGAGCTTCGGCCGCCATTTTACAACAGCTCCACTCGCGCCGGACACAGGGAGCAGCGAGCACGCGTTTCCCGCAACCCGATCTCCTCGGACAGGATTCTTCCGCCGCAGCCCAACGGGGAGGTAACGACCGCCTGGACCCGGGTCTGGGAGGGGAGCACCGTGACATTGTGGAGTAAGCTGGGGGAAGGAGGAGTGGGGAGAAACCGGCTTTTCTGGAAAATGGATTCCAAGGGGGAGAGGAGCACGTTGACTGGGGCTGCTTGAGAGTAGGCCGCGGCCCGCGCCGCCACTTCCTCCTCTTCTCCATGTGCTGCCGCCGTTCGGGCTTTGTCTGCGGCGCTCCAGGCAGGAGGCGGCCCCATGGCCCGCGCGGACCACGAGCGGCGGCGGAGTTGGTGCTGTCGTGGCCGTCGTCGCGGCGCGGGAGTGGGCGGAGAGGAGCGGGTCCCGTCCCGCAGCCGCGCGGCGAGCTTGGGTGGTGCTCGCGGGCCGGCGGACGTTAGGCAGTTCGCGGAACGCCCTCACTCCGCCGGGTTGCCGGGCCGGGGGAGGGACAGCTGGCCCCGGCGCCGCAGTCACTGCACGGACGGGCGAGGGGTGGGGGCTTGCACCATGCGCCGCGGCTCACGTCTCGGCGGGGCGGGCGGGCGGCCGGGGGTCGCCGGCGCCCGGGGCGGAGAGAGCCATGTGTCACGGCGGAGACGGCGGCGCTTGGGGGGGGGGGGGGGGAGGGGGGGGGCGGGGAGAGCTTGTGGCCTGGCGCCGCCGCGGCCTCGGTGTGGAGGGGCGAGGTTGTGCTGCTACTGCTTTCTGGGGGCTCCGATCTTGGCTTCAGGTTGACGTTGGGAGTAGGTGATGGTCGTCTTGGCCTGGGACTCGGTGGGTTTCCGTTGAAGGAAGTTGTAGGACATTTGAAGGCGCAGAGCACGTGTTTCTAATGGGCTCCTGGTGGCCGCAGCGGTGAGGCTGCCGCTATGGGTGCGGAGTCGGGGGCGGGCTTTGGGGTGCGGGGGTGAAGGGTGGAGAAATTGGGTGGTAGGAAGGTAGCTTGTGTGAGCGCTTTGTTCTTCGCTGGCTGTTGTTACTGATCTATAAGCGGCAGGCGGGAAAAGCGCGCACTTTGGGGGTTTACCTATGAGAGAGAAAAGCCCAGCTTTGCTTTCTCCACACACCTCATTCTCTGTACGGGCACAGCTGTATGTGGCACGCTGGCTCGTCCTCGTGCTGATTGGGCTCCATTTGTAATATGTTTTTTTCTAGGGAGTGTTAGCAGGTGAGTCAGGGGTGGTGCTAGGGAAAAACATAGTGAATCTGTCCTCCTGTGCCCCGCGCTCCAAATCTGGCTTGTCAGGCGATAGTGACTGTAAGGCTTCTTTAAAGGGAGGCGCAGGTTGGCTGGTGTAGAAATTGGTAGAGAAAGTAAAGATTGGGGCTCTTATATTTCCTCTACCCTTTTTGAAGATCCTAGTTTAATTTTGCTTATTGCGTTTGAACAGATCTCTGGAAACATGGCTACAGAACATGTTAATGGAAATGGTACTGAAGAGCCCATGGATACTACTTCTGCAGTTATCCATTCAGAAAATTTTCAGACATTGCTTGATGCTGGTTTACCACAGAAAGTTGCTGAAAAACTAGATGAAATTTACGTTGCAGGTAAGAACTAACACTTGCAAAATTATATTATGAAATTTTTCTATTGGATTTCTGGCTTTGAGCTAAAATAGCAACTTTTTGTGGTTTCCAATAAGTGTGGGAACTAGAGTTTTGCTTCGTTGTGATAGTTGTGAACTAGAGGTTTAGGTGTATAGAGGGAGGGAAGAAGGAAAGATTAGGAGGTAAAGGCTGGCTGGCCAGATGGAAAAGTATATGATGGTAGCAACAGCTGCTAAATGTTGGGAACAGGCCATGTGACTTTTTGGGGGTATTTTTATAGTAGGATTCTTGTTAAATAACTTGGTAACTGTAGACTTGTAGTCTGTTTTGGTGTGGCTGTTGCTTTTTGTAGTGGTATTTGAAATTGAGTAGAGGTTCAGTTGTCATGCTTGGTACTTTGTTGGGTTGATTTTAGGATTTGTAAGCCTATATATTTACTGTAGAAATACTTAGCCTTCAGAACTATGTGACTTAGACCCAGAACATGATGTAAAAGAAGTTGATTCATTATTGCAAGTGTGGTTGAGAGGCCTTAGTTGAGATTGCAGTTCAGAATGACTAAAGTATGTGTGTTTCTCATTATATATAGATAAGGGAAATGGAAGAATTCTTAGTTGGCAAGTATGTACCTGTATTGGCAAATCATGGTCTCTTAAAAAAAAAAGTTTCCAAAAATATTAAAGTTGACAACTAATTAAGTTTTCTCTTCTCCAGGGCTGGTTGCACATAGTGATTTAGATGAAAGAGCTATCGAAGCTTTAAAAGAATTCAATGAAGACGGCGCATTGGCAGTTCTTCAGCAGTTTAAAGACAGTGATCTCTCTCATGTTCAGGTAATGCTAATTTCAGTGTAAATAAAATAAATATGAGTAGTTTTGAAATACTTTGTTTTATTTGATTAGATACAGATAAGACAGTAATTATTAAATACATTTGGAAAATTCTTTTGTAGAACAAAAGTGCCTTTTTATGTGGAGTCATGAAGACTTACAGGCAGAGAGAAAAACAAGGGACCAAAGTAGCGGATTCTAGCAAAGGACCAGATGAGGCAAAAATTAAGGTATGTCTTTAAAAACTTTTTTAAAAAAATTCCCTTCAGTTTTAAAGTTCTTAACTCTTTTCTAGCTTTGCTGAATACTCCTTGGATGTGAAATGGGTTTTTTTTAAGATGTTGAGAGTTAATAACAATGAGATAATTTGTTAATCTTTTCTATTATTTTTTGAAAAGTGTCCTGCCTTTAGTTATTTGTTTCTAGAACAACTCATTTTTAAGTTTTTGTTGTTATTGAGCTATGGCTTAAATCAGTACTATTGGTATTCTAAGGAAAACACTTTAAATATGTCTGCCATATTTCTAAATGTTTTCTGAAAAGCTGCAAGTCCAGATTAATGACTGGATCAAAAATGGGAGGGGATCAGGTCACTCCACTACTGGTGGGGAGTGTACCTTTAACAGTTGACTGTTTTTAGAATTCTCAAACCCCAAATTAAATGGATTAGAATTTTAAACGCTATCTTCTTTCCCTTCTATTACTGTTGATTTTAAGGCTAATTTGTTCGTTTGTAAAGGCAGCTTTTATCAATAAAATTGATTAGTGTAGAAATGTAAATGAAGAAACAGGCTGGGAGTGAAGTTTTTTTTCATTAAGGTCATAGAACAGTGAGTGGACTCAAATGCAGCTAGGTTTTGATCTTTGTTTTGGTTTTTAGTTCATCGAAAATAATGGTGATCATAGTAGTTTTAATCTGATGCTCTTAATACACTCTACTAGTTCTCTGGAACCAAGAGTTATGGTTTAAGAAAGTCAGTTATTAATGCTGCTAAGTGATGTTTTAATGGTACGGGAGGAGGGAAACTTGGAATAAGGAGTTAACTGTTAATGTCATCCATAAATTTGAGGCTTTCACAGGTCTAGCTGTGAGGAATTGTGTTTGAATTATAAATCTAACTTTCTCCATAGAAATGGAGTATATTTGTCCCCAATGTAATTATGTCAATTCTAATTAAATATACATTTAGGGATTACGATTATTAACGTTTTATTAAAAATGTAAAGTCTAGTTTATGTGATTTTTCTGTTCTATCTGGGAGAGAGTGGCTTAAAGCTTTAGTGTGACTTAAATTACAGCAAGAAGACAGTACTTTTTATGGGTTTTTTTTTTTAATAGGATGTTTGATGGGGAATAAGTTTTCTTTTTAGGGATTGAGACAAAAGGTATTATTTGGGTCATAATAAAGATCAAAGTGAAAAAAAAAGATTAAGGTGAAGGAAACAGGGATTACATATGGGGAAAAGGAAGATGAGCCATTTAATGATTTCATTTATGTTTTAGTAGTGTAATAGTTTTCAGTTTATTTTTGTTACCCAATGTTGCATCCTTCAGTAAACATTTGGGTATAATAGAAAAAGACTGCTTAAGATAATGTAGTGGTTTGTGGGAGTTTAGGAATAGTTATTTTACTATAGTATTTTTTTCACAAATATTTAACATTCTTCATGTAAGAGATGTATAAAATCTGTCTTGTCATTTTCATTTCCAGAGACTGAAGTGACCCCAAGTCACTTAACAGCATTTCGATAAGACTGTCATTGTGTTTGGTGTCAGCTTATTTTTATTTCAGAATTTATCAGCTAATTATTAGATTTTATTCTTTAGAAAGGGGTTCTGTGCTTTGTGGTTGAGATGGTGGAGGAGAATAATTCTTGTTTTTTTCCTTAGGCTAGCAGTGGACCACTTCTAACACTTTTTGCCTATAGTAAGGGGTAAGAGAAACTAACACTCTGATTAGTAAATAGGAATTGTGTAAATTTTAACAGTTTGCTTTTAGGGAGATAAAATGTAGTTATTTCACATTGTTGCAGTAAGATAAAGTTTTCAAAGTCATTTTGGACTTTTGTTTTGAATGAACCATGTTGTCTGTGAGGCATGGTGCTTGAATGTCAGATGTATTGAGGTTGTTTTTCCTGTAACTCCTAAGTTTCTGGACTTAGTTTGGGGAGTATAATTTAAGGTTGGTGAAATGCCCAGAATGGCAGTGTGTACCTCAAGTGTGGGGTACAGGGAATTTATTGAGTGAAAAATCCAGACTTGGGGGAGAGGAAACTTACCTAGTTCCTCCTTTGGGAGAGAATTAAACTCCTAAATTAGGGGCAGTAATTTTTTTAGGAGATAACTAGCAGAGTAGATACAGACTCTGTCTTGAAAGTTGTTGATGGATCAACATTAGTTTTTTCTTGTTCAGTAATCACTAAATAATTGGAGATCAGAAAATAATTTGAGCAGGATCCTGAAATTCTCACTAGAAATTAGAGCTATGGCAGGGTACATTAAAGGAGAAATTCTAAAACAGATACCAGAAACCTGTTTGTAGGGATTGTTGCCAAGGTAAATGGGAAAGATTTGAACAAGATTGATTTTTAACTGTGAAATGCATGGGTGTGGTCTTGTGAATTAAATGTATTAATGACTTTTGAACTTTTCAAGGCACTCTTGGAAAGAACAGGCTACACACTTGATGTGACCACTGGACAGAGGAAGTATGGGGGACCGCCTCCAGATTCCGTTTATTCAGGTCAGCAGCCTTCTGTTGGCACTGAGGTAAAGAAACTAAAAACTTGTACCTTTTGTAGTAAATGCACAGGTATCTGGTTTCCTAAAGAAACTCTCCATGGTTTTTACTTCATGTTTAATTTACAGATATTTGTGGGGAAGATCCCAAGAGATCTGTTTGAGGATGAACTTGTTCCATTATTTGAGAAAGCTGGACCGATATGGGATCTTCGTCTGATGATGGATCCACTCACTGGTCTCAATAGAGGTTACGCGTTTGTCACTTTTTGTACAAAAGAAGCAGCTCAGGAGGCTGTTAAACTGGTAAGTTTTTTTTCCTTCAGTCTCCACGTTCACTATCTTTAATTAAAGCCAGGTTTTTTCTTATCGTGCATAAGAGTTAACCAAATGTTTTTTGAAGTGCTGATAAGGCGCTGTCTTAAAATCTCTGTGTACTCACTGTAGCAGTATTCTTTGCATGTATAGTTGATTGGACTGAGGATGTATGTTAGTGTGTCAGAATTCTGAGTTACTGGTTCTTTAAAATATCTGGCTTAGTAATGGTTTTTTAATAGGAATGTTAAAAGATTTCAGAAAGTAACTATATAGGGTAGGGCTCCCTTATATTCTGGCTGTATCTGGGCTATCCTTTTTTCTAAAATATATCACAAAGACATTATGATGATAAATTTCTAGTTAATAAAGGGTTTTGTGGTGAGTCGCAGTATTTGATTTCAAAATACCAAATGTAAGGTGTGGGGACCTAGTAATTTTTAAAAAAATTTTTAATGATTCAAATTATAGTTTATATAATTCATCTTTTTAAACCAGTTTTATTAAGTTTTGTGACTCAGATGGTTTCTACATTTTATAATTTACGATGTCAAGGTTAATTTCAACCCAAAAAATGTACCAAAAAGTACAACTGGGGAGGAACTTTTGTAAATGGTCCATTAAGGCAGTTATTTGTTAAATTTGCCCTGTCTGACTTACATATTTTATGGGTAATTCCAAGTAAACTTAATATCCCTGGGTTGATTTTTCCTGAATTTTATTATTCCTTTCCTCACATTCAGATGTTTCACATTTTAAGATACACCATAAGGAGAAAAGCCAACTATGCTGTTTTTGCTTTTTATATTGCTTGAATCTCTCCATTGGTGTGTATAACTGAATATGGTAAAGACTTTACATTAGAAAAGTGGTACTTGAAAGATTGTAGTGTCTTTTTTAAAAAAAGAATTCAGGAGTTTAGATATTTCTTTTTAAGTCATGGGTGATTTTTCCCTCCTTTAAAGAATGCTTTCTATTTCAGAGCAGGCATAGTTCTAGGTAACCATTTCTGGTAACCTTTGGGTGGTCAAAATTTTAACTTTTAAGCAGTTGAGGTAAAATTAAGGACTTTTTTAGAGTTTTGGGAAGATACTTTTGAAATCATCCAGTTTAATTTATAAAAGAATACTAACATTTTTGCCAGGTAGTAATAAAGTAGTGGTAAGTTTTAATGCGGCATTGTAGAATGATTGAGAAGACAAAGAAATATCTTACTACAACAAGCAAGTACAGAATTTACCATTGTTTTCAGATCCATTTTATTTGATACTACATAAAGTTCTTATTCTGCTTAGTATGGTTATTTAGTGTGTAATTGGTGATTTGTGTTCTTACTAATATTTTTAAAGGAATCATTAAACCAACATTTCTAGGATACTTAATTCTTGCTACCAAAATACGGTAATTATGGTAGGTCCTTACGAGAATTTATTTCTAGATGATTTCTAGAATCCTTAAAAAATGCATCATTAGAGGAAGAGGATATATAATCCAATTGTAACATGATTTTGAGTGCCAGTAAAAACACATTATGAAATAATGTTTCAGTTTGGGCAGTTGCCTTGGCTTAACAAATAAGATTGTCCAAAATTGCATTGTTCTAGGCTTAGAATATGTAGTGTTATTGATATAGTTAAGTTTTTTTAACTATAATGCAGAAAGTTCCGTAGATAGCCAAACAGCCATTTTGATTCATCTAGGAACTAATTCTTGTCCTTTTTTTACATTTTTTTTCTGAGTTTGTGATTTGAGTCCTTATCTGGGAGCATGTTTATTTACTGCCTGAAGGAGGCTTTGCATTTTGGTGCCTTTTAAAAGATATTTTTAGTGGTGATGGTGTACATCCACTAGGATGAATTGGATGTATCATCGTTGCTTTAAAAGGATGCTTTACTGTGGTAGGATTTTGGTGATAACGGAATTGGGAGATGTGCCTTAATATAACTGAGAGGACTAGACTTTTGAGGAAATGAAGCATTCTAGAGAAATAATAGAATTCAAGTTAATTAGGGTGTTTTTTGCTACTTTGTATGTATTGTGGAAATGAGTACCCTTGTCCTAAGTGTGTTCCTTAAAGGAGCATATTTTGAAAACTATTCCTACATGTGGCGTATCATGAGAGTTGGCTTGAATTACACTTCTGTCTAAAGTGAATTTTTATATAAGATAATGGAATGGTTCTAGTTGTAGATGATCATATGTTGAAAAAATGCCTGTTTGGCATTAGTTATAGATCAGACAGGATTGAGGGACCATTTCTTTTTGCTTTCCTGTACTTTGAGTGTCTTGAGGAGTACCTTAGGTCAAGATAGTATATGTATTGGGGTGCCTGGCTGGCTCAGTCAGCAGAGCATGTGACTCTTGATTTTGGAGTCATGCGTTCAAGCCCCATGTTGGGCATAGAGCTTACTTAAAATGCAAAGATAATTTATGTATTTGACCTTATTTTTTGATACGATTCAGTAATGGCTTTCCCCCCCTCGATTAAAAATAATTGTGGATTTTGGGGTACCTGACTGGCTTAGTTGGTAGAGCATATGACTTGATCCCAGGGTCATGAGTTCGAGCCCCATGTTGGGGGTAGAGTTTATTAAAATATATATGTATATTGTGGATTTTAAATTTGTGTCTGAATTGTAGAATGGTTTGGTACTAACAGCTGAAAAAGAGGCATGGTTAGAAGCAGCTGTGAACTTTTTAAATGAAATGGTTTTCAGCCAACATTTTCTTTGTATTTTGGGGAATAAAAATAAAAATATTTTTCCCTAAATGATAATCTAAAGGGGAAGCAAGATCTAAATTGGTGAAAAGTAAATAAATAGCTACCTCTTGAGTGCTTGTTAAGACCCAGGATCTGTGCTAGGGTGCTACGTTATTACCTTTAAATACTACCTCAATCTATTCTTGAAAATAATTGGAATTTATTCTCTGGAAGAGTAAATAGCTTGGGTGACTTACTGGAGGCCCTACAGCTTTAGTTTGATAACAGGTTTGTTTAGTTCAAGTTCTTCTCTTTGGCTAGACATAACAGTTTAAGCCAGCAATGCACATTATGTCATCAGGTAGCCTGATTCTTTTAAATTATGTAAGTAGTTTTGGTAGTGTTAAAAGGAGCATAGGAAATAAGTCCTGTTTCTACTGCCAAAATAGTTTTGGCATCTATTTTCATTGTTACCACCTTAGCCTAAGGTACCATTCGAAGAATCCTAGCTACTCACTGCTTTCCACTGTCCCTTTAGTCTTACCGTAGGTTGGATCATAACATTCCCATGTTGAAAACTCTAATAATGGCTTCCAAAAAGGCCCTATCTTATCTGATCAGCTTTCTCCTTATCTCTTTCTTACTCTATTGCCCTTCCATCCATGCTTTGCCTTTTTGTCCCCCCCACATAAACTATGACCATTTCCATCTTCTGCTGTTCTGTTTTCTAACACTCCCCCAGTTACCATGGCTGCTTTCTTGTCAATCAGGTCTTAGGAGGCTTTTCCTGACTTCGAGCAGCTTACCACTCAGTTGCCCCATGACAGTATCCTGAACACAATAAAATAGAATGTTTAGCTGTATTTAAAATTATTTCTTGGTTTTGTAAATTATTTGCTTATTCCTCCTTCAGGATACTAGCTCTTTTTTCCTGTATCCCTGACATTTAGAACAGTGCCACTATATATTTATCCAGTAGGTGCTGGATAAATAACCTACCTGACTGGCTCACTAGTGCCATCTAATCTGTTATTTATGACTCAAAATTTATAACATTCCCATATTAGCTATGGGCTATTATTCTATTTAAAGATTGTCTGGCTTCCATTTGCAATTATTTATTCAGTGGTAGGGATTAGTGTAGATTAATGGGGGGGGCAGTGCTTTCCCCCTCATCCCCAGGGGGATATTTGGAAGTATATGGAGTATTTGGTGTTGTCACAAGGACCGGGAAGAACAGTAGGCAAGTGTGTATCTATTTGTGTGGTGTGCTACTGGAATTGAAGCTCAGGGCCACCCGCACCCCATTGCCCATCACATTCCTAGATAATAGAAATATCCTGTTTGAAATGCTGATAGTGCCTATGTTATAAACAGTGGATTAATTGGTCTCTATTTGCATATTGAAAGTTACGTTTTTAATAGGCATTGCTGGTTTTATTCACCAAAGTGATTGGTGTATGCTGGTGTAGCATCTGTAAAACCATTTTGATGAATGCAGGTGACAAGACAGGTCCACAAGATTTTTAGTAACATTTTAGCAAATAGTGTGCTTAACAGGAAAACTTACTGTGGACATACAAGGTAGTTTGATTCAGTTCTTGACTTTAGACTTTATGGGACATGAGAGGCTGAATATAATGAAAGAGAAAGCAGATGCATTGTTCAGAGGGTAACAGTGATGAAGGGATAGATTGTATTGGGGTTGTTACAGAAGGCTTTGTGATAAAAGATGATCAAGCAGGATAGTTAAGGAAACAGGTGAATGTAGTTGAAGCAGTGTTTTGTTGAAAGAAATGGGAGATAAAACTAATATAAAGTCAATGCCAGAAGGTAATTGTCATGACTACTGGACTAAGTTGCATGATGCCATTCAAGTTTTGAGTGTTGGTGTGGGTCGCATAATGTAAATAACAGAATAATGAAGGATGTTTGGATGAAGAGAACAAAGACCCGGGAGGGTGACAGCCATAGAAAGAAGAGAGGTTACAGATTTTGAAAGGAGAAATGTTAGGTAATGGTATGCTATAGGTTCCATTCTGATTTTTATCAAGGATTTAAATCAGGGCATAGTTAGACTGCCCTCAAAATGTCTGGTGACCTGAGTTTGCATGCAGTGATAAATGCCCTGGATGACCATATCAGGACCTGAAAAGATTGATAGCCTGAAACAGTTAAACACCAGCAAGATGGAATTGACAAAGGTCAAGTCCTATATACAATTAATTTCACAAGTAAGCTGTAGTGTGAGTCAGCAGTATGGTGTGGTTGTCAAATAAACTAAGGTAATCATGGACTATGTGTTACAGAAGCATGATACTAAGAGGTGGGAAATTAGTCTCCAGTTTATTCTAGACTTCTCAATCTCAGTCTGTATCTACAGTATTGTGTTTTGGATGTCACTATTTGGTGACACTCTTAGGCACATTAGTTGGCCAATATCAGAGGAGGAATGATTAGCAAGGCATAGAGAACAATTGAGTCATGAGCATTGTGTGCAGGTATATGAAGTGCTGTCATTTGGGGGAGAAAACAGTTATTGTAGAATTTTTAGGGAAGTAGATTTTGGCTCAATGTAAAGATTTTTAGGGCGACTCGCTAACTTAGAAGAGCATTCAGCTCTTGATCTCAGGGTTGTGAGTTTGAACCCCACGTTGGATGTAGAGATTATTTAAATAAAAACTTAGATTCTTTACTTAAGACATACTTAAAAATAAAATGGACAGGCTAGGGAGGTGTAGTGGCTTTGCTGCTATGGGAAGAGTTAGGACTGAATAACCACTTCTGTGTTAGATTCCAAATCTGAGATTGCTAATTTTGGGGGTTTGGCGACTGACTGGCTATGAGGGAAGGAAAAAGTGACTTGAGATTTTAAGCCTGGATGACAGGACTGTTCCAGATTGTACAACTCCTGTTTTGGTATTCTGAAAGACTGAAACTGCGTTGATTAATGTTCAGAGTTCATCTTTATTTTGTCACCTCACTGTGGTACTGAATCTGAAAGCTAGATTTCTGAAATAATCAGTGCTGAACTTCCTTGAGTTGGAAGGAGTCACTTTTTTTTTTTGTTCATTTTGATACTTTGATAGTGTCCTGATGTACTAACTCCTGAGAGTTAGGATTTATCAGTATTACATTAAAATCTCTGTTAAAGTTCAGAACAGTTCTGTAATGTCCTTCTACCACTGAACTCACCGTTACCCACCTGCTGGGATGTGAAGTTTATTTGTGAATTTATGGTGACTGGTCTTAAAATTATTAGAAAAGTTAATTCAAATACACATATAAAAATGCATGTTTAATCTGTAGGTCAGGCACTGCTTTAGGAAATATTTCTGGGTAGCGGGTACTTTTTTTCTTTTTAAACATTTTTTATTTATTTTTGAGAGCGAGAGAGTGAGCACGAGCCGGGGGAGAGGGGGTAGGAGCAGAGGGAGAAGCAGACTCCCTTCTGAGCAGGGAGCCTGGAGTGGGACTCAATCCCAGGACCCGGGATCATGACCTGAGCTGAAGGCAGATGCTTAACTGCTGAGCTACCCAGGCGCCCTTCTTTTTTCTTTTTTGAGTAACCTTTACACCAGATGTAGGACTCAAGCCCTTGACCCTGAGATCAAGAGTCGAATGCCCTGCTTAAGGAGCCAGCCAGGCGCCCCTCGAGGTACCTTTTTTACTTTATTTGGACAACATGCCCAGAGGCTCTCCTTTGCTCCTTTAATGATTTATTTTAATTGGAGAGCCAGTTTACTCTCTATGGGTTAGCTCTAATTGTTTCTTTTTTTTCTTCTTACTTAAACATGGATGAAGAATTATAGTTGACTTTCTAAATCTTGCTAAAGTTTCATGTCATTTATATTAGAGACCGCAGCCATCCTAAATAACCTTCTACCTACCCTGAATTGATTAACTGTATCAGGGCAAGTGAAGAAACTTCTTCTGTAAATAATGAAACAGTCATTACTCCTTTGAAGCAGCATTGTTAAATGTTGTGGAAGTGGTATAAACAAGAATTCTAATTGTTCTTAAAAGTTTTTGTTTTTTTTTTTTTAAACTTAGACATTTTCTTACGGTAAATAGGTCCTGCTCCTAAGACTTCTGGAGGAAAGTTATGCCAAGTCCTGTCACTTCAGAATAACTCCTGCTTTTCCCTTTAAACACTTTTTCTTCTGTTTTTCTGATGATACTGTTTTTGTCAAGTCCTGGAGTTAAAGATTAGATGATCAAATGGAAAGCCATTGATTAGTCACTAAAGTGGAATATTTGATGCTAGATTATAAAAATGTAGGGAACGTATGTGTTTTTATAGCAATTTATTGTGTTTTTAGGTTAACTTATTCATAATAGGGTATTGTAGTCTACTTGTACTTGTTCATAATCCCATACAGTGATGGATTCAACCACAGCTCTACTATTTTCATGTAACCCATATATTTCTACTTTTAAGAGGTTTTTGGTCTTAATAGAATATAAATGCTATGAGAGAACAAGGTGTGTGGCAGGATTTTTCAACCCTCAGTACTATTGATATTTTAGATCAGGTAACTAACTCTTTGTTCTGCTGGTTTATCTTGTGAATTGTAGGATGTTTAATATCCTCTCTGGCCTCTGTATACCCATTAAATACCAGCAGCAAGCCCCCATCCCTAGTAGACAACCAAAAATGTCTTTAGACATTGTCAGATGTCCTCTGGGGGACAAAGTCATTGTTTAGAACTCTTGGTCTGTGTTAAACATAGAAGGATGTTTTGTTGACCTTTTTTATAGGATTTAGGTGTTGCAGAGTGTTCAGTTGAGCTCAAATCTACAGGTATGCAGAGGAGTTTGGATGATGGAAGTTTCAGGGAAAGCATTTTATTCAGAGGCTCAGGAGTAGTATAGAGCTGTTTGAGAATTTACGTAAATAGCTAAGATTATAGTATTGTGGAGAGAAAAGAGTAGTAGTAGTAGGAATTTTAGGATGAACTTCTGTGATGTCCAAGTATTTGAACTTTATTTTGGTGATGGGGAGCCATTGAGAGATTGTTTTCAATAGGCAAAAACTGTCATCTCTCTCTTTTTTTTTTTAAAAGGTCTCTGGCATAAGTGTAGAGTATATAAATAATCCTGGGATCATGATGACCAGGTACTTTGATAGCATGAATTGAATCAGTGGGGTAGAAAGTATAAAACTGTTCTGAACTTCATGTTAGCATTTTGAGTATCTGGAGATGGAGAAAGGGACAGGGAAAAATTGATTTTTTGACTTACTATATGCTTTCTTGTCTTCTACCTGATGTACCTTTTATGCAAGAAAGGGGAGAAGAGGGGTTCCTGGCTAGCTCAGTCAGGTGGAGCGACTCTTGATCTCAGGGTTGTGAGTTTAAGCCCTGTATATGGTGTAAAGCTTACTTTAAAAAAAAAAAGAATGGGAGAGGAATGATTTCACCTTTGCCATAAGGCTGGTCTACAAATTGTATGGAAGTATATGTTGATTGTTTTTAGATTGTGTAGCCCCACTTGTATATACACACAACATAGATTCTGAGGCCAGGTGTGGGGGATTAATCCATAATTGCTGTTGCTGCTGCCACCATTATTACTACTAACATGAAATTTTGAGGTGATTCTGTGTAATGTAAATAATTGACGTTTCCTGATTAACTTGAATACTTTTGAACTTTGGCTTGTAAATAATACTGATCAGTGGATTTGTCACTTTGAAGATTGGGTTTTACCTCTAATATCTCACCCTTCTATGGGGTATAGTTGCTTGAAGACTTTACTTTTTACTGTAGTTTTATATTTGCTTCTGTACTTGCACCATAATCGATCCACTTGTTTTTCTCCAACTTCATTGTAGACTTGATGAAGATGAAATGGGGGAAAAAGTGGGGTTGGATTCAGGAAAAGAAGTTTCTCTCCTTTTAGAATTACATATTTAAAGGTGAAAACCCCTTATTGCAACCTTTTACAAGAGTGAAAAGGAGATGGGGAAAAATAGATTTAGGTGCTGGTTAACAGAATGGCGGAAAGCTTGCTGGTATTTGAATCCGTTTACCTTGCAAGAGGATAACTGGTCACCAGGATGAATTTAAATAGAAATTAACGTATTGTGGAATCAGCAGTTTTGAATTTAAGCTGCCTGCCTATAGACCTGATTCCTAATATATCAAGTTTCTTAAGTTTCAAGGACTGGACAAATTTTTGCAGTAATTTAATTCATAAACTTTTTTTTAGTTGTCAGTATAATCTTATCTGTCTCATAATTTCCTCTTAGAGTGCCATATGCTAACTATATTTTTAAAGGGTATTAAAAAAAAACCATAGCATTGAAATAAGTTTGCCTAAAAATTTCCATATATTTTTGTAATAAACAAGATATTATAAGTATTTTTAAAACGTGGTACACTTTTTCCCCTTTCAGTATAATAATCATGAAATTCGTTCTGGAAAACACATTGGTGTCTGCATCTCGGTTGCCAACAATAGGCTTTTTGTGGGCTCTATTCCTAAGAGTAAAACCAAGGAACAGATCCTTGAAGAATTTAGCAAAGTAACAGGTAAGCTGGATTTATATGGAAGGAGGTGCAACTGCTAATACTGAAGGTAATTGCATACTTCTGTGTGATGAGAAGCATTGTCTTAAACATTGTTTATTGACTTGTATTCTCTAACCATGTGCGATAGGTAACTCCCGTTTTTCAGATAAGGAAAATAGGTACAGAGAGCTTTGGGAAATGCCGAACATTACATAGTGTGTAAGGAAGGCACCTGGGATTTGAATAGTCTGCAGAATCTTTGCATACCCTGTTTTGGAATCTTCGTGTATTTTTATGCATTTTTAGGTGATAGCTTGACATTCTTCTTGGGAGTGTTTGAGTAATGATTTGACTTTCTAAATTATTGGAACAATAAATATTGCTATAAGCAGAGATTATACATTGTCAGTGTGGTGCAATATATTTGAACTGTAAAGCATTTTTTATAATAGTTTCCAAGTTGGGCTGCTTTCATTAGAATAAATTTTGTCTGCCTAGAATATTTAGTAAATTATCAAACTATTAGTCTCCAGGAACATTTGAAATCCTACTTAATACTAATATATTTCATTTGAAATAAAGCCATTGATATGAGGCCAGAAAAGTGTCATCAAAAAGAATTTTAGGGGCACCTGGGTGGCTCAGTTGGTTAAGCGTCTGTCTTCGGCTCAGGTCATAATCACTAGGGGGTCTGCTGCTCCCTCTTCCTCTGACCCTCCCCCCCTGCTCTTGTGCGCTCACTTTCTCTCAAATAAATAAATGAAATCTTAAAAAAAATAATTTTAGTGTTTACTTGTGTAATAAAAATGTTTAACCATGTCTGATCTATTCTACTGCCATTTTCCTAACAGTATGTAAAAATTTTATGCCTTTGTCAATTAATGGAAGAATAGTCCTTGGGTCTAATTAAAAAGAATATATTTTCTTTTCATGGGGATTGTGTTGTGTTGGGAACACTTGTGAAGTGTGGATTAGGTAAATTATCTGGACCAGTTCTTTTGAGAGTCATCTTTACGAGAGAATTTTTTAGTTTTATATTCCAGTATTACATTAGAAAAATCCTTTGATCAACTTTGTTCTTGCTTATTTTATCTAATTTCTCTGGAACGGTTGCTTATTTTCAGAGGGTCTCACAGACGTCATTTTATACCACCAACCAGACGACAAGAAAAAAAACAGAGGCTTTTGCTTCCTTGAATATGAAGATCACAAAACAGCTGCCCAGGCAAGGCGTAGGTTAATGAGTGGTAAAGTCAAGGTCTGGGGAAATGTTGGAACTGTTGAATGGGCTGATCCTATAGAAGATCCTGATCCTGAGGTTATGGCAAAGGTAATGGCAGTCAAGTTAATAATTTTTTTTGAGGGGGTTGGTGGAAGAAGGGGAAGGCTTTAGAGAGGGAAGTAAAGAACTTCTAAAATGAATTGTATACTTTTTGAAAAACTGTATTTTTGAAAGTGAGAGAAGTGTTCTGTATTAAAGCCACATATCAGAAATAATACCATGTACATAGGGAGTGAATATAGAAATTTATTTGTGGGCACTCAGTCATATAATTGTGTAGCTGTCATACTCTCATGATGAGTAGTTAGCCTATATGCTGTGGAGATGGTTCACTATCATTTTTGTGTGGAGACTGAGAGCAATTTCTTTGCATATTTGGGAATGGCGCCATTAGCTTACATGGTTTTTGTGTTAAAAGTCCTCCTCCTAAAAATAGTTAACTGTACTGGCCTTAGCAGAGCTGCTGCAGTTACAAGGTTTAGCTATTATTAGGTATCCTGCTTCAGCAGTCAGTTGAGACATCCTATGAGAACAAACATCTCTTGAGTCAACACTTTACTCATTAGTGCAGTTTGTAGTTAAGTTATTCTATCCTTTGTCGTTTAAGAATCCCCCTTAATGGTGATAGGGTAGCAAATACAACTTGTTCACTTAAATCAAGAGTGTGAAATGCCAGAACTGTGAATATTACTAAAGGATAAGTAGTCTTGAGGACAGAAGATACTTAGTATTCTTTTTTCTCTGGCCTGTTAAGCTCTTTTGGATTATCACATTAAGAAAATTGGATGTTATTTCAAGTATTTTAGGGGAAATGATAATGTTTCTTAGCAAAAGGTCAGCTTTTGTAATTGTACTTTGAGGAGCTTTCTGGATTGAAATAATTTATTTTGTCAGTATTTTGAACATTCCTACTTTATCAACATTTCAAAAGCAGGTTCTAATTAGTTTTGACCACCTGTGTTAAGAGTTAAATGTTGAACAGCTATCTCAGAGGCATGGTATTTACATTGTTAGAAAAGGACCACCTCAGTTTTGATTGCAAACTAATTACTAATTTAATAAAAACTAAGTATTTTTGTTTTGTTTTGAGCAAAGTACAGAGTTCTCATGTACTCCTTGGCCACACACATGCATAGCCTACCCCCCCCCCATCAGCATCTGCACCAGGGTGGTATATTTGTTAAAATCAGTGAACCTACATTGACACATTATTATAACTTAAAAGTCCATTGTTTACAGGATTTACTCTTACTGTACATTCTGTGGGTTTGACAAATGTTCAAGTGTAATAGTTTTACTGCCCTAAGAATCTTTCCTGATCTGCATAATCACCCCCCATCCCCTCTAACCCTTGGGAACTATTGATTTTTTTTTTATTGACTCCATAGCTTTGCCTTTTCCCAAATGTCATGTAGTTGGAGTTATACAATATATAGCTTTTGAAGATTATCTTCTTTTACTTGGTTACATGCATTTAAAGTTCCTCCATATCTTTCCATGGCTTGATAGCTCATTTCTTTTTAGTACTGAGTAATAATGCATTGTCTCGATATAGTATAATTTATTTATCCATTCACCTACTGAAGGATATTTTAGTTGATTCCAAGTTTTGGCAATTATGAATAAATCTGCTGTAAACAACCATATGCAGATTTTTATGTAGACATGTTTTCAACTCATTTGGGTAAATAACAAAAAGTGCAGTTGTTGGATTGATTGGTAAAAGTATGTTTAACTTTGTAAGAAACTGCCAAACTGTTCTCCACAGTGGCTATACCATTTAGCATTTCTACTAGCACTGTTTCTGCTCCATATCCTTACCTGCATTGGGTGGTGTTAGTGTGAGTTTTTGGCCATTCTAATAGGTGTGTGGTGGCATTTCATTGTTTTTATTTATTTTTCTAAAAAAGATTTTATTTATTTATTTTGACAGAGAGATAGCAAGAAAGGGAACACAAGCAGGGGGCGTGGGAGAGGGAGAAGCAGCTTCCCGCTGAGCAGGGAGCCCGATGCGGGGCTTGATGGGATCATGACCTGAGCCGAAGGCAGACGCTTATCGACTGAGCCACCCAGACGCCCCATTTGTTTATTTTTTAAAAAATATTTTTTTTAACTAATCTCTACACCCAACATGGGGCTTGCATTGACAACCCCAAGATCAAGTCACATGTCCTACTGACAGCCAGTCAGGCACCCCTCATTGTTTTTATTTGTAATTCCCTAATGAAGTGATATTGAGCGTCTCTTGATATGTTGTCGTCTGTGTACTTTGGTGAGGTGTCTGTTCAGGTTTTTCACCCATTAGATCCAGCAGTCACACTTCCTGAATATTTTCAAATGAGCTGAAAACTTGGTCTTTTATATTTCTGCTATTAATGGTTAGTGACTACAGTTAATTTTATAGGGTGGGGTGGTGGCATCCTGGAAATTGAACCCTTTTGAAATATACAGGGAGTTTCTGTTTTTTTCTTAATTTTCAGGTAAAAGTGCTGTTTGTACGTAACCTTGCCAATACTGTAACAGAAGAGATTTTAGAAAAAGCATTTAGTCAGTTTGGGAAACTGGAACGAGTGAAGAAACTAAAAGATTATGCTTTCATTCATTTTGATGAGCGAGATGGTGCTGTCAAGGTAAATAAATGGAATTATTGTAGGTATCTAAATTAAACCAAGGATTTTTAGTCATCCTACAATTGGAATATTCTAAAAAGTTGAAGGACACTCAGAGGTCATATAATCTCCAATTAACCTTTATTGGCTGTAGCAAATTGCATAACTCACTAAACTGAAGAGCTGGATCTTTAGATAAAATCTAACAACTGTATTTTTTTAATTTCATCCTTCCCAACATCAGTGAAATGATTTTTGAACTTTGAAGCATAATTGTTGCTAAAGGCGTTTTTATATTGATCAATACCTCATTTTTTAAGGCTATGGAAGAAATGAATGGCAAAGATTTGGAGGGAGAAAATATTGAAATTGTTTTTGCTAAGCCACCAGATCAGAAAAGGAAAGAAAGAAAAGCTCAGAGGCAAGCAGCAAAGAATCAAATGTAAGTAAAAATTGTATACAATTTTTATACAATTTTCCAACCTGGTGGAAAACAGGTGTTGTGCAAATCTGTTAAATGCATAACGTGCCTTTACCTTTTAAAGAAGAGTGGAAAGCTTTGAGCCACTGAGAAATGCCAAGAACCTCAAGAAATGTTTGAGCTGTTGCTATTGACCATACTTACGAAAATAATTGTAATTCTAAATAACTAGAGTTTTGTATAATAATGAAAATCTCTCTAGGGTATTTCCTACTATGTTTTACAGAATGTGCTCCTGAATTACGTGTTTTAAATTTTAGCTGTCCAAAAGTGTTGATGTATTTGGTTGAAGGGTGGACAGTTTTTTTTCTCAGAGATAGAAAATACTCAATCTCCAATTATGATATTATGATAAACTCTGCTTCCTATATATCCAGAAGAGGCTTCTCTACCAATACATAGTGCCTGTTGCCACCTCAAAGATTTTATATAGGGATTTGAGAAATGAAATGAGAATATAGTTAATAAAATAAGTAACATGGTATTGAAGAAAACTAAGTGTGTAATGCATCACAAATAATTGGATTTTTTTTTAGAACATCTGTAAAAGGATATCTGCTTATTAAGACAGTAAATGAAATTTTTAGCTGGGTAAGAATGAAGTTTGCAGTTTAAAAAAATGAAGTTGGTAATTTCTAAGGAGGAAGAGGGATAATTGCTATTTGATGCAAGAACAAGAATCATTGAACTTAACTGTATTTCAGGGCCACTTTCTATCCATTGTCCTATGTGGTATACAAAAGAAGGGTTAGGGGTGCTTCTATTTATTTCTCTCATTTCATAATTGGGG